ACCCCGTTATGGTCGGCGACGCCGTGGTCTCGGGCTCCCTCGCTTCCGTCGGGTCCAAGAAGGCCGCCGCTGTCCTGGTAGCCGACGTTGTAGGGGCGTCGAGGAAGACCGTGCCCGACACCTGGTCGTCGTCCCTTGCCGCTGTGGGCTGCGGCGGCTGCCAGCTCACCTGGTGTGCCCACGCCGTGGGCGGCGCCCCGACGTTCTGCTGCAGGATAGTCGCCGCCGATGAGCTCCCGGGACCCGTCGGTGGAGGCGGCGTGGTTGATGCCATCGGCGATGTCCTGGGACCCGTCGAGCTGGGCGTCATAGATCCATGTCCCGGCGTGGCAGAGGTGGTCGGCGGCGGCCTTGGAGCTGCCTTCACAATCACCGGCGTCCCCTCCGTCGTGGCCCGCTGCGGGAACAGCCGCCCCATGTAGACCCGGCGTTCCTCGTCGGTGGGCGGGGAAGTCGGTGGAACCACGGCCGTCACGGCGAGGAGCTCGGCGAGTGAGGTCCGGTCCTCCATGTCCAGGCTCGCCGCCAGCTCCGCCCAGGCGCCGAATCCACCGTCGCGTCCCTTCCGGAGGACGTTGCGAAGCTCCCGAACTGCGACGTGGACTCCAGCTTCCGGCGTGACCGTCGTCTGAGGCCGCTGCGGCGGTGCCTTTCTCGGCATCTGCTGCGCCGACGACGAGGCTGCCGCTGGAGTAGTCGACATGGCGTCGAAAGTGATCAGGAATCTAAAATCTTTGAACTCGTCGAGCCAGAGTGCTAGCGACGGCCGTCGTTAACGGTTGTTACTGCACACACACGTGTGTTTCACAACACTCCAAGAACTACCAACCTTTTCCTGCCGCAAGATCCCCATACGAAGAAGTGCGGCGATTTGAACGTACTTGGCAAATCTTGCCTTAACGAGCCGGGCACTCCACGCGCGGCTACTCCGATTGATTGGTGGGCCAGTATTCAGAATTCAGTTTCTCCGGAAGGGTGAGGCACACAGACCCTCTCTTGATCACTGAAAAACCCGGAAGCTGTTCTCAGCTGCAAAACCTTCGCTCATGCGGCCGTGAAGCAGGCATCCAGGACTCGCTAAGCATCTCTCGCAGTGTTTTCTCATCGGTCTTGCCATGCGCAGTCCTGAGAAGATGCAACATGTCAGCCACCAGGAAGCGTGCGCCGCTGCCACTTGCCCAGGAAAGGCCGCACCAAGGGGAAATGATGTGCCCCCCACAACTAGGCAAACAAAAAGGGCTCCGTCACACTGAGAAAAAAGAGGGTGCAAAGGATGCACTGTATGAGTTCGTCATGATGCCATGGGCTTAATATCGCTTTTCTCGGCTCCAGTCACCCGGGACCCCCCCCCCTCCGCACCCGAGACCCGAAACCCGCAACCCGGGGAACCCGGAACTTGAACCCAGGAGCCGGGAGCCGGGACCCGGAACTCGGACGGTCGCCGTACGTTTACTCCCGCCCCACTCTCCCCCCCCCCCCGTGACTCCCCCAACAAAACCAATGTTGTTCTCTTTTGTGCAATTCAGAAACAACGCTTTGCCCCACCCCTTTCCCCCTTCCACATGGACTCCCCCCCGAAGACAACCAATGTGTGTCTCTTCTACAGTTTTCTGTTTTGTACAGTTTAGAAACAACGCAAATAGCACCCGAATTCACATAGATGCTTCGTGCCCGGGCTCTCTGGCCCCACCCCCTAACCCCCCTTGGGCGCCCCCCCCTGCCGCGCCCCTTCCCCCCCCAGTGACACCAAAAAAAAACAATGGCTTTTCTCTTTTGTAGACCCACTGAACTCCCCCAACAAAACCAATGTTGTTCTCTTTTGTGTAGTTCAGAAACAAGGCTTTCTTTGGTGCAATTCAGAATCAACGCCTTGCCCCCCCCTTCCCCCCTCCCCATGGACTCCCCCCCCAAGACAACCAATGTTTGTCTCTTCTACAGTTTTCTGTTTTGTACGCCTTGCCCCCCCCTTTCCCCCCCTCCACATGGACTCCCCCCCGAAGACAACCAATGTTTGTCTCTTCTACAGTTTTCTGTTTTGTACAGTTTAGAAACAACGCAAATAACACCCGAATTCACATAGACCTCTGGCCCCCCCCAAAACCGAGCTGCAAAAAAGTTCTTTCGTATGCTGTGGCGCTCACCCTCGAACCGAGACCTTGGCCCCCCCCGTGCCCCTGCCCCAAACCCCCCCCTACCCCCCCCTGAATAAGACCCAAATCACAAAAATGCTCCGTGCCCTACCCCCCCCCCCCGGACCGAGGCCCTGGCCACCTCCCCCGCAGCGACCTCGGACCGAGGCTCCCTTGCGGACAGACGGTCCCGTCTGGGCGACGATGGAGCTTCACACGATTTTTCGCTCGGGCACGGGACACACCGAGCGGGCGGGCGCGGCAGTGACTTCGACTCGCGCTGTGGCCCAACCCCTGCCCCTGCCCCTTCTTTTCCCGGTGACCCCCAAAAACCAATGGTTTTTCTCTTTTGTAGACCCACTGAACTCCCCCAACAAAACCAATGTTGTTCTCTTTTGTGTAGTTCAGAAACATTTGTGTAGTTCAGAAACAACGCCTTGCGGCAGAGTCCTTTGGCCCTATCCCGACCCCCCCAGACCGACGCGCACGCGTTTTGCAGCCATTCCGAACGGTATGGCGGGTTTCGGGGCCGCCGTGGACGACCCAGAGAGGCCAGCCGGCGAGCATCATGAGCGCATCATCAGCATCAGCGGGGTTCGGCGGAGGGCGGGTGCGGGCTGCCGACGAGGGCTGAGAGGGGAAAACACAAGGGTGGGTGCGGGGCCTAGCTTCAGGCTTCTACCTGCGCTGCCCGCACCTGGGCGCAGCCCCTAGAATATTCGTAGTGCTGTCTCGGTGTCAATGGAATCGCTTGGCAGCGCCGGAAGAGAGTCGGAATATGGGTTTTCATCACCGATTCCTGCAGCTGCCTCTTAGCATCTTCTTCTCCTGCACCGGCTGACCCCGATTTCTTCAGAAGTCTTTAAGCAGCCTCTGTGACGAGTCTATTCTGGGTTTGTTGGGAAGAACGTGGCATTGCCGGAGCTGCTGCTTCGGCTTCGACACCAAGTAAGAGAAGTAGATTCAAAATGCACTTGGGATTCCCAGCCATCATCGACCGGGCCTTGTGGCATGTCGCCCACATAGAAAGCCACAAGCTGATCGTCGTCCTTTAGGACGTGCTTCAAGATGCGGCATTGCTTGATGCCATCAATCTTGCCTCGACTGATAGGTTTGCTTTGCTTCCAAGCTGGAGCCAGGATGACATTGGCACTAGTCAAATTCAAATCCTTCGAAGACTGGTGTCCTTTGATAGAACCCATGTGACCTCTCTTTTGGTGTTGGAAGGGTATACGTCGCTGCACACACAGGTATTATTGAGGAATCCACAATTGACACTCGGCTGTCGTTTGGACTGAAGCCGATGCTTCGCCCAGTTTCTCGAAGTCGATACGCGGAACACGATAACGTCGAACTGCCATGCTCATTGCTGCACAGCTATGCAATAAACAACCTGGCTCTGTAGACTGTAGACGTCACATCTAGGAGACTGAAGCACTCCGCAAACAGCCATTTGCTTGGACTGTAACAAGACAGTCTTGGATCCTAACAACATGTCAGTTTGAACCCATGCGATGAGTGCTCTGCACAGCTTACGAAGTCAGTCCACAAATCTCGGCTTCCACAGCCGTTGTCTCAATCCGATTTCCATTAAACCTCAAGTCCGACAGGCAAAATGCACACATAGCAAGTCATGCCCACTTGCACACAAAGCGAAGTGAACTGTATCCAATTGAAGCTGAGTGTGATGCTTGATCTGCCGGTCGGCATCAATGCGGCCGTGGAAAGTGATTGAGCCATCTTTGCCCAAAGTAACCTCATCTCCAGTTCCTGGGGCTGTGCTGGAGGTGAGAATCTTCTTGATCATCACAGCGCGTGACGAACTGTTACCAAGAGAATATTCGTCAGCCCTCTACGGCGTGTTTCCGCTGGCACGCCTCTGGCGTCCTAGAAGTCCACAAATACGCGTGCATGTCCACAAATACGTGTGCATGCCACACCTCTCTAGGTTCATGCCTAACAAGCATCCCGTACCTGGCAAGCTTCTGTACATCAGGCCAACACGACGAAAGCAATCCGGGAAGAACTTCTCCTGCAGGCCCATATCGTGAAGCTAAGGTCTTTCAGGGCAGTTGCTCCCCACGCTGTAAGGATAACGGTGCATGTCAACTCAATCAAGTGCAAGATAGCTTATCCGTCAGATGAAATAGAAAGCCGCTCTTGACGACACAATAGGTCGGAACTGATGCTCTGCAGAATGCACTGCGTTCTACGATCCAACCCTACACGGCCAAAACTGGCCTTGGTTGCGTCTGGATTACCAAAGTAGCCTGTCGCCACACCATCACCTCCAACCTGAAGTCCGCGATGAATGTGCTGCTGCGGAAAGCCACATGTTGATAAGAGTATTCACAACATCTTCCGAACATGAGAACATGAATAACCCCACGAAATGCAATTCGGTGTTACCAAGTTGCCCAAAGCTCGCCTCTCTCGCCAGGTTGACACGCCCTGGCCTCATTCGTTGTCGGTTGTCGAGGAACAAAGAACACAAGACGACACACTGCGATGAAGCTGAAAGTGCATGGGACACAACTGACATCTGAACGCATTCCGGGTTGTGTCTTTTGGCATGCTGAATTCTGCTGAAATGTAAGATCTACTCAAACAAGCCAGTCATTGCACTGCCCTGCCACACAAGAATGTCCCACATCAGCTAACGATTCACAGCAAGAGCATTGTGGTTAGTCTCCGTAGATGGGATTGCGCCTCTGCATCTGACGGCATGCTGTCCTTCTGCAGAACATAGCAGAATGTTTCCTGGATAGGCCAGCCTCCGAAAAACAGCTCGAAGCATAAACAAATTCTGCTGACATGATCTCGATTCTTGCATGCTTCCACGCATGCTGCATGAACAGACCATGAATTTGTTCAAACCGTGCCGATGTTGTTGTTCAGGTAGTCGCCGGAGGACCCCCTCGCTAATTTCTCGGTCAAATTGAGAGTCGTGCTGAACACCTCGACACATGTGACAGTGCTCTTGGTCAACGGGCTTTGGTTGAACGAGGCAACGCTCAACGAGACGACTCTTAGTCCAAGGCACACCATTTTCTGTGGGGCCATAGGCGTGGATGAGGGTGATCCCCTTGCTCGCATACAGACGGTGGAACTCCAACGCTCGAGCGATCATCATGGCCTGGGGCTGCACTGGAGTCACCGCCCAAAGCCCATTACCCCCAGCACCAAACTTGCGATTGAAGATTCGGCTTTAGGGTAACCCTGCTTAAAACAACCGCTTGCCAGGCCTCGCCACCGTAGAAAATGCGCGTAAGGTTGCAATTGAAGTGCTCAACCAGCAGTTCGAACAGTTTTGTGGTGAAGAACGCATGGGACACGCGGCGCAGGCGCAGGTAATCCTGGGCTGGGCTACATTCTTGCGACGTTTGAGCCCATCATGGGCTGCTAAACATGTAGCAGATTGGCTTGCAATAAAGATGCTGGGATTTTGTCCGGCGTCTGCATGAAGAAGTCCACGCTCGCTCCGTTCGAGAGCGGAGCAAACGTCTCCAGAAGTGATGCATCGAACGTCGTGGCACTGTGCTGCAGGAAGACCTCCACCAACCCATGAAGCGAAAGCAGCCGGCTAGAACGGGATGCAAGTGGTCAAGAGCCACAAAGTCGCCGAGTCCCGAACACTCTCTTGCGACATTGCCATGAGCTCATCTCAGTGCAGGTCGAACGGAAGCAGATTCTTGCCAGCTAACAATGACGGCATGCCTGAACCATGATGCTCCACGAAAAACTTTAAAACAATGTCCCTGATTAATTCCAGCAGAGTACCATCACGGACCAACCGCAGGATCGCCCGATGCGAAAGGATAACCATCTTTGGGTGTCCTGATGCCAACACGGCTTTCCTAACACACCTTTCCCTTTCAAGGTTTTGGTTTTTTGCCACTTGCCATTCCGTTTGAAGGCTTTGTTGGTTGCGGCCTGCTAGTCCTTCTTCGGATCAAGGAATTCACTGCGGTGGCGGAATTCGGGCAAAACACAGCCTGCAGAAACCTCTACCGAGAGCTTCGCTACGCAGACCAGCTTGAAACATGCGCGGCCTTTCACTCCCGGTGAGCCTGCAGAACCGCTCGTCCACATGACCGCAGCAGCATCGTTTGCAGAATCGTTTCTGGTGGTAGGCGTCCCGCATGTGGTAGCCCCCCGGACAAGACTCCAAAATTCTGGAGTTATCCCGAGGACCTTTGTCAGGCTCGAAGAGGTCCCAGCAAAAACATCGCCACAGTTGACCCTCCGGCATCAGAGTCGAATGCAGCAGTCGGAATTCACCCACCGAAAGGTTTTCTTTCTCGCATTCCGATAACGGGAGGGCTCTCAAAAGCTTTCTACACGTCGCCAATTTGTGCATAACTCTCAGAATCAATTCAACTGAAAAGCTCAAACACTAGCTTTGATGACAAGCGAAACTTGAGTCAGGGCGCCTCGGTGTTTTTGAACCCAGGCAAACTGACTGTGCCGATTGCCAACACGGGGCAGTGTGGACCTTTGCAAGCTGCTGGATCGGCACAAAACAGGAAATGGTTGAGGGAGTACAGCAAGCAGCACACCATTCAGCATATCTGCCTGTCATGTTGTGCGAGCCTACACATCATCAGTCAGGTTCAGTCGTGGTTCATCGCCGGCCATACTCAAAATTCAATAGAGTCTGCTGTGAAAGACAACAGTGAAATTAAATCGTGCCTGTACGGACATGCTGAAACTGTACAATGTGCATCAAGTGTGAATATGTGTGAATGCACGGTCCATACAGAACGCCTAGCTCCGTAGCCGTAGCCTAAAATGGCAGAGTTTCACAGATAACTTCAGCATGTGAGCGAAATATCATTTAGCTGGGATTTGTTGGATGCTGAACTGTGATGCCTTGTTTGCCGACGACCTGGAGCATCGGGCACTGCACTCATCTCCTCTACCAGCTTTGAAGGGCATGTCCAGGATCCCCGAGAAATCTCTCAGCGTCAACGTAACATTTGTCTCGTGCAGCTGAACATGACAGTGGTAAGCGGCATGAGGTCGAAAAGCTCTCAGATGGCGTTTCGAAATTTTGACGACCGCCGAAATGCAACGACACAACGACGAAGGCCCACCGACAATCTACGTACAAATTATGGTGCATGGTAATGCGTGCAGCTGCGAAAGCGATTGCTGGATCGAATTTGAGTACATCTTCAAACCAGGACAGAGTCCAGGGCTAAGCTGTTTCGAGACACTGAGGGCAGGACGCACGATCTCCACCACACGTTCCAGCTGCTTTGGCGGGAACTCTCCAGATAGAACTGTGAAGGCTCTGCCTTATCGGACCAGAGGTCGTGGGATGGCTTCTGAAAACTCTATACCCTTTACCTCTCATCATCGTTCAATTTATGACCTGTACCCAAAATCCATATTGCCGCCGAACTTCCGCTCAGCAGCACGCCCAGCTGAACTGCGATCAAGTCTGGCGACCGATCTCGAGAAACGATGACCTCTTTAGACGTGACAGTTGGGAGGATTCAGGAGTTTCTGGCCTCCTGTGCGGGCTACAGGCCCCAACTGCTTCTCCGAACTCACATGGAATTGGGAAGAGCAACGATCCATGCAGGACCTAGGGGTTCTTCTTTGGACAGGTGCAGTCCCTTCGCACCTACGGGATCCAAACTCAGAAGTAAGCTCGTCGTCATCATGACCATCATCACTATCAGCATCAATCACAATAACAGCTTCTCATCTTACTTGGTCCAAGCGACGACGACATCAGGCTCCAATCCGCTTTGATCTTTCGCCTCAAACTACGCAGAACATGGCATGTGCTTCAGCTTGCGTTCCGTCCTTGTTTTGCCTACTCCAACTTGCAAAGCTTTTCCACCGTCAGCCATACGTTTGCCCTACTCCTTTTGTCTCCCATCACACCTGGTGTTGCAAACACTTCTTGCTGAAGCACATCATTCGCCTGATTTCGCGTGTCAGTTAATCCGATGTGTCTCCCGACGTCAAGGAGGTCGATAGTCTGTAGTTTGTAGCACCAGATACGGAAGTTGAAAGTCGCTATATATCCAGAATATCCAGACGATACATCATGCCACTTCGCAGACATGTGCAACCCTCGCAGCTTGCAAGTCAAAGAAACGGGACCGCCGACTAGGACTGGAGAAGTGATCATGGTTTGCTTTCCCGATTGTCTACACCCGCAGCGCAGCTTCGGCAGTAATATCTGGAAACCCTGAGGCTGGATTATCCATGTGCCACATGAGAAGCTCTTAGAGCGGCGCTGCACCCGTGCCACAGAGGTAGTTCGACAAATCATGGGCTTTGCGGCCTGCAAGACATTGGCCACTGGATGGGATTGTGCTGTTGCAGGATCTGGCAAACAGAGAACTGCAGCACTTAGAAACTATCGGAACTGCAGCGAACTGCAGCCTCGATTTAGTGCTTCCAAGGTTCTCAACTCTTCATATGTCATCGCCTGCTCCTGTCGAGGGGCGGTTCCGCCGTGAAGCTTCAGTACCCATCGAAAACATCCGTGCTGACCGTGCTGGACAAAGCAACATGTCAAGCTACTCAACTCCTGGTCCCCGTTGTTCAGCCACACCACTGCCGGCTGAGTCGGTGTCTTTCTCGCCCAGTATAGAAACTGTTCATGAAGCGTCCTCAGAAAATCACAGAACTTCAGCGGATCTCTTCTCGGCCGTCCTTCGTCAAGTGCATCTCGGGGCCAGACTTCGCGACTGTCATTTCTTGCAGCTGCTCTTCGAAAATGTCTGACAGCCTCTTCTGGGCCAGAAAGCTTTGGTGAGTGTGTGGTGGAGCAGGTAGCGGGCCCGTGGGCTCGTTCTCTTCTTTTTCGCAGGTATTGTGACCTCTGTGAGCCGAAACCGTTCAGCCGATAATTTTGTCGGGCCAGTGATGGCCGCATCGACAGGGTTTCGACTAAAATGAAGCATCTTCAATGAGATGAGCAGTCAAGCTCAAGAGGTCACTGCAGTCAGATTTTCTCAGGCAGCGCGCATGTACCGGTTTCGTCCCCAGCGGACTTGTTCAACTAGCTACCTGAGGCCTAAACTGCAGCATAAACAAGGACAAGTTCCTTGTGGAAGCTCGCGTCTGTTTTTAATTAAAACGAACTCAGATACAAACATCAGCAACACAGTCTCGCTAGCTGCCGTTCAAGTTCCAACGCCTGTCTCGCAAATCACATATCTTGAACCTGTACAAAGCATCGCTGCGAAACCTGATCGCCAAGGGCGCCCACTCTTACTGGTGCGCTGTACACAAGTATCAGGACTGGTCCAGCAAATTACTTGGTATCCAGCTTGCAGCGAAACAAAAATGACGGCACGCCGAAATGGTGCCACTCACATCCTGCCTGCGAGCAGGTCCCTTGCCGACAGATCCCGGATCAGCTTGCTGGACTCTGGTGGATATCCCAGCTCAGCCAGCCAGGAGTAAGTCGCATCCATCATCTCCTTTGACCCCGCGGTGGTGAAGCGCGCCGATGCTCGGGTCTCCAGGTCAGACCATGGGAAGACCTGCGACAGGAGCAGTGGGCTGACACGGCCGCTGCGCATGTTGGGCACATCTTCCCGGGACAATAGCCGCACCAAGCGGAAGCGCGGCTCCTTCTTTGCGAGCTCGTCCAGCTCTGGGCCATAGACGGCCTGCTCGTCGAGGGTTCGGGTGGCGTAAAGCAGCACCACCTGCTCGACCTTGGGGTCTTTCAGCTCCTCGACCGCCGTCCAATATAGCTCGGTGATGCCCACGCCGTAAGCTACCAGCCCCACTCGCGGCCCCGGGTTGCGGCGGTTCGCTGGCAACTTGGGCGGGAATGGGGTTAGCTCCACCGCAGTGCCAGGCGTCACGCTGTCCAGCCAGCGCGAGACCGTGCCCTGACGATACACCCGGATGATGAGGTCGAAAGTGCCATCGGAGCGGAGGGGTGTGGGCGAGTACATTCCTCGGGCAGTCCAGCACTGGCTCCGCTATGCAATGCCATCTGCAATGCAGTCAAAAGTCGAAAACATTCGCATCTCGCAGATTTGCAGCAAACGCACATCGCGATGCGATTCGATACGATTCATGCCAGGGCACGGCCTCTCACCATAACCACCTGCCGCATGGCCGTGTTCACGTCAACTGGAGCGTCTCGTGGCGACTGGAAGACAAGCCTGCGCACCTCGCATGGACGTCGGCACTGGAACGTCCACATCGACGAGCCTGGGGGACTCTCTCTGCCAAGATGCTGGCTCACCTCGCGAGTCGCAAAGCGTGCTCTTGCGAAGGAGGACGCACGTGCGGCTCCCGAAAGCGCCGGAGAACATGTCCCATGGAAGCTGCGACATGCCGATGCCCATGGGCTGGCCCATCATCTTCGAAAACACAGAGAACATGGGGCAGCTGCTGCAGCTGCCTTCAATTTGGGCGATCGGATGTTTCCTGCGCCTTGGGCCGAGGACCCGTGTGCCGACAACCCTGCAAAACTTGCGGCGGGGCATGGCATCGGATGGGAGGTGGAAGGCTAGATGGCCTATCCGCGCTGTGGGATTTCACTCTGCACTTGCGATGCACCAAAAGCTCACCTCCGGTCGGCAGACCCTGCCATATGCTTGTCATATGTGGCGAAGCCCTTGTTGAAATGAGGCGGACCTTGGCCCTGTCAATGCAACCCTCGAGGAATGAAGCTGAGGGAAGGATGACGACAAAACTTCTGTACATTCACGCCATCCTGAAGACAACAGGAATTGGCGATCCGAGACGGCATTTGGCTGCATGGCCGGTGACACGCAGCGAAGGCTGGTGTAGCTTTGCACTAACCAGCCCGGATACAGCGGGTCACTGGTGGTAAATAACCTGAATAACCAGCCGAGAGTCTGCCGCTGGAGAGTAAGGATTCTACAGGTCGCGTGGGGCGGCGGGAGTGACTCGGCAGGAGTGCTGTCTGCATGATGATGCGCTGCACAGCTGCAGGAGAATCGGTGAATACTAAGGAATGAAGCCGAGAGTAGCATGACAACAAAACTTCTGTACATTCACGCCACCCTGAAGACAACAGGTACTGGCGATCCGAGGCTGCACATGGCCGTGAGCAGACATGGTGCATGGAACTGCATGCTAACAGGTCGAACATCACTGAATTAAAATCGTCGGTCCTCCGTTCTGAGCTTGCATACGCGTGGATTGGAAACGCTGAGGGCCGCAAGAAGTGAGAGCTCTGCAATCGCTGTTGCATAGGTCTTCTACTGTGGCCTCAGCCCATCACTAGCGGATCCAGATCGTGGCTGGCTCGGATAAGCGAACGCCCACCCAGCTTTTCCAGCATCCCTTCCGCGATTCTCCGAGCATCCCCGCAGTATCCTGGTGGGTACGACACCATGTACCGGAAGTCCGACCATGGAAACACCTCGCGCAACATTGGCTCGTCAACTCGCCGGTTGAAGTTCCGGCTGTCGGCGACCTGCTTCACCTCTGCCTGAGTGATGGTGCGGACCAGCGTGAACTTGCTCCTGTGGCTCTCTTCCACATCATCCAAGGCATGGCTGAGACACGACTCAGACTCTTCCAAGGTCTTCGCTGAGTGCAGAAGGACGACCTTTTCGACGAGAGCTTCCTTAAGCTCTGCTTCAATAACTCGTAGCAGGTGCACCACACCGGTTCCGAAGGCCAACAGGGCAACCTGCAGAGCAAGATCCGATAGCTTCCTATCCGACGCACCTGTACAAAGTGCATCCGAGTCGCATGGGCCCCACCGGCCCTCCGATCGCGGGGCAAAGTCGGTGGCCAAGGCCATGTCATCTGCAACTCTTCCCCAATCGCTATCTGGCCCAATGGACCTGTCACCTTGCCATCTGCACTTTCCCTCTCGGTGGCGACCTTGGACCCGAAATGAGGCCCTCAACTCACAGATGATTGTGGTCAATGTCTAGAACATGTAAGACCCGCACGAACTCGAAGAAATAGCTTCCAGGAGGCGTGGTGGGGCTATACATCCAGCGACATGAGGACTTCTGGTCTTCCGGCTCATGCACGATAACCATCTGTCTTAGCGCAGCTTCTGCATCCATACAAATCTCCGAGCGGAATCTGTACTTCAGCAACTTCCTTGGATGCGTGAGCCCGAGACTACGGGGCCGTTGGCTTCTGTCCAAATTGAACAACACAGCCAAGATGAGAGAAATGGTGCTGCCGTTGCTACTGTCCATGTCACTCCTCTGGAGAGGACCACGAAGCAACACAAAAAGGATACTTAACAGAGGCGAAGCACTGCTCCCCTGGCTCCCCGCAAAGCCAGGACTTTCTAACCAGCTTGCCTCGAATGCAACAGTAAAACAACCAGTCCAGGAAGCATGCAAACTTCGCACAAAACTGACCTCTCACCATCTCTACCAGGACGCACAGTGTGCGATGTGCTGTACAATGCGAGAGGATCGCTTCGGCTTTCTCCTCCACGGTTGGCAAAGACGCCTGATGGACCAGAACAGGACAGGATTTAAGAGCATGCCCGCTTCAGATACTCCGATCTGCAGCATGCAGACCAGCTACGACGGCCAAACTTCGGACCGCCGACCACAAGTCCAACTCGCGGTGCGAGTCCAGCATGAAGTGACCGCAATCTTTTCGTTCAATTGTGACGTTGCCATCGGACACCATGCTATTCCAATGCATCTGCTCAGCTTCCATGTTCATGGAGTTGACCATGGGATCACTTTGGCCATGGAAGATCGTGACTGGCAACCCCGGAGGCAACGGTCTGCATGTTTCTGACTGCCGGGTGCATGCTTGCACATCTGCTCGGAGGAGCTGCAACACAGTGGCTCTGCTCCATGGAGCCAGCCTGCAAAGACGCGAATCGCCGGTGAGGTCATGCAATTTCTGCACCAGGTCGTCGTCACCTCGGGTATGGCGCAGGCGACAGAAGAACAAGCTGCAGAAATTGGGTACATCGAGCCTCCGGCATAGGCTCGCGGCGTCCTCAAACGGCAGTTGCAATGTTGCCCCATGGGACAGAACCTCACAGTGGTGATCAGCATGCAAAATCCATCTTGCAAGTGAGCACATCTGCATGAGAGAGGCAGCCTTGTTTGAGCTTTGAGACACGTCACGAGGAGTCCGCAAGGAGGTAGCCGCTTCTGCTCTTGCAGCTCCTGAGATACCAATTATGCTACTGAAGCCAGGTGCACACACCTGCTTACATCAGCTTTTCCACCGGCAATCCCTCCGAACACTGTCTTGGCGGCTGGGGTGTGTCACATCCTTTCCGTGCGCTGACTTTCGAAAGAGGCCAAGGCTCCCGAATGACTTCCAGAGCCACCCGGGCGCCCATCGATTGGCCAACGAAGACCGTCGTCTGCAGGGAAAGGGGAGCTTCTGCACAACTGGATAGCTTGGCATCTTCAGCCTAAGCAGCCTACCAATGGGAAATCCGCACTTTGCGTACAGTGGCTTTTATTGTCACTGCAGTGCATCTGCAGCTGACTGTGTCGTAATGTGTTTTGAGCTCCATGAGCTTCGAGGGCGAAGCCTTTCAGGCCCTTCCCTGCTGCTCTTACCCAAGTGTGCATTCTGGAAAACAGCCTGCACACATGTCTGGTGGCATTTACAAGAGACAGCATTCCTCCCAAGCTGCCTGACGGCCGCGAGTGATGGATTCCAGGTTGCCGGAGTCAACGAACCTCATCAGCATCGTGATGTCCGATAGAATAGAAGTCTCAAACCACCCACAACCCAAGACTCAATCGGGTGTGACCATAGTAAGTGCAGCTTCCGCGGCTTCTTTGCGATGTCCGTTATCGACGTCTCGAAATCCTCTTGCTGCCGGTGCCCTCGACCTCCAGAGCATCGATGCGGCGTTGCTGATTCGTAGTTTCACGGGTGCAACGAGAATAACCTGGCTGGGTCCGGGAAAACAGAAGTTCGATGAAGTTCGGTTCGCAGAATCCGGATCCCATGGGCAACCTTCGCAATTCAAGGGGTGCGCTGCACCTGCATATTCCACCGCGAAGACGTCGGCAACTTCGTCGGCTTCGTTCGCGAAGTCCCGGACATCCTCTGCCGTCCCCCCTGCATGGGGGAAGACCTCCGAGCAAGATCACACATCAAACTGGCTTCGGGCAGAATGTAGGTTCTTGGCTTCCGCTTTCCCTGCCATCCATGCTCGTCTCCTGCAAAGCTCTCGACTCAGTAACACGAGACAAGCTGCCACCACAGCCACACGAGCCGGTTCCGAATAGCCTCAGGTATTGCTGCCAGTATGACAATCCAGGCAGGAGTGCTCACTACTGTCACTACTGCGCGAGCTCTTACAGGGGGCAGATGATGTGGGTGCTTTGAGTCTTCGCTACTGTATCCAGCCCGTTCCCCTGTCGTTTCTCCACCCGGCGCCCTGACTCGCAGACTGGTGCAATATTTAATATACTCCACTCTCAACACCTCACTTCAAAAATTCACCTTCAAGGTTTGAAGTGAGTGGCCACGGCTGTGGTCTGTCAGCTTCACCAAGCAGTCTGATGCGTTGGACTTTCTCTTCAGGGCTCTGAGCATCTCCGTGTGCCATTCGACATGGCACTTGACCTGAACTCAGTGACTCCAGAACAACATTACCGTAGACCTGTCGGAGATCCGACAGAGTGAATCCAAACATGCCCGATGTGATCGCCTCCCGAACACTCGAGGGCTCCATCGAGTCTAGCTCTGCAGCCATGTCCTGGCACTTTATGCGAGATGGTGCCGTCATCGCGTCGTTGGCTTTCGTGAGTGGGTGAGTGGGTGACTACTGGGTGAGTGTGGGTGAGCGTGGGTGAGCCTGGGTGAATGGGCTGAGTGGGTGGGTGGGTGAGTGGGTGGGCGGGCACGTGGGTTGGGCGGGGGGGGCCGGGGCTTGTGTGCGCGTTGGAAGTCGAGGCCAGATTCTGCGCTCGCCTCTGGTGTGATGAGGGGGGACGGCCACTGACGCGACACAATGTATTTGGGGCGGGTCTTTGTTGCCGTGTTTGATCCTGATATCGCAGCGACGTCTCAACAATGCGAGATGCGGTGATCTGGGTTGACATCCTCGTGTTGGATGTTGCTTCGGGATCTGGGTATCGTTTAGACGTCCCAAAAGCGTCAACAGTCACAAGGATGCCTCGTCTAGTGCTACTATCCTTGTCGTTTCTGGCTCTTGACATCACCAGTTCTCAAATATGCCAACACTAACAGAGATGGGTGTGTCGTTTTATAAGTAGGGAGAGCTGCGCCAAGCCGAACCACTCACGAAGGCAAGTTTGAAAGGCCTTTACAGCACACGTGCTCATGCCGCAGTTCTGGCAGTGCAATGTCCAAGGCAACGGTGAAAGGGTCACACCCACACTGCATCGCCTCTTCCATAGTAAGCGATGTCGACGTGACAGCTCTACTAGGACACTGAAGTTTTGTGAACAAAATCAAAACCACAATACAATCGCGCCAACAGTTCTCTTGGATGGCTCGGGTCACTCAGTCGGGCATCTTGCGAGAAGACCCTAATCAGACTTTATTATTATGTGATCGGTCCTTCGGTGCAGGCCTTGTCGCCGGGTCCGTGATGAAGCGCAGGGCCAGATCAATGTTCGGTTGCAGTCTGGCACGCGGACCACAGGAGGGAAAAGACAGGTCAGATGGCCGCTGCGTCGAAATGACACTATTGGGGTGCATCCAGGGTGCGTTTTGGGGTGGGACACACGCATGTCGGCGAAGCCAGCAAAAGTGATGCGCGCATCATCTTCAAGGCAAATGCCCTTGTAGACACGCGGCTCTCCACCTCTAGCTAGAGGCTGCAAGAAGGAGAAGTTCGGAGCATCGTATCCAGTGGCTGCGATGATCCTTGGAGAGCTGTCTTTGCATCATTACATTGCATTCTATGCATGTACGACTTACAAGTCGTAGCTGCCCGAGCACGTTCTACGAGCCATGGCTCAAGTCAGCCGGAATTTGTTCATTGTCCACAACGACCGAGTTTGCTTTGATCTCATCGACGCTGCCGCGGATGAAAGCAACTGGAGGAGCTCCAGCAATCTGAACAGAAAGCCACTTGATTCCAGCCATGGCTACTTTCCAGACACACGAAGAAACACACACACACACACACACACACACACGCACACACACACGCGCACACGCACACGCACACTGATGGATTCGGCCAAGAGTACGAGTGCAAGAAGAAAAAGAGAGGCATGTTGTTCATGTTGTAAAAGCTTGTCAGATTGTGGCAACCGTACAGCTTGTTTGTTGTCAAATCAACCGCCAAAAGTGGCAACTGAAAACTCTCTAATCTTGGCGCAGGGGCCTTCTAATCGGGCTGGCACAGGGGCCCCAGCTCAAGGTTTTGCAGGTACGCCGAGTTGATCAGACTCGGTATCCCATGACTGTGGTAGCTTCGTTGAGTGCGGTCCCACAGCCATGCCGCACTCCCCTGCAACATTTGATTCGGTAAATGTCAGATGTCTGATTGAGTTGAAAAGCAAAATTGCAAACAGTGTAGGAGTGACCCTCTGCTCCCATGTGCTAGGGAGGTTCACACACACACAGCCCCAATGGGGCGTACATGCTTCAAGTAGAGTGAAAGGTCTGATACGTGGCAAAAGGAGTGAATGGCGCACTTTTCTCGCTGTCACTAGCGATCGGGTGATTGTCGTATTTCCTGATCCGAACAGGTTCTAACAAAAAGCACCGGCTTCAACGTGGCTAATGTGGTGACTGAATCCCAATCATGTAGTCGTCGACGGTTTTGTTCGAAGAAGAAAGCTGGGATTTTAGGAGTTCTGCCGGTGATCTCCTTGATGCGGTAGGAGAAGATCTTGCGAGCTTGTAGAACGTTGTCACCCAGACAAAGCACCACGTGTAAGAGCATGTGCTTGTCTCTGGTGATGCGGTCGGGTGGAATTTCAACAGTCATCCGAAAACATTGTCCTGCCATGGAGTACCATGGAAGGCCGGCCTCGGCAGCCTTTCGCTTTGTCATATTTTTGCTGCTACCAACCGACAAACGCTTGAACAAGGAATGCAAAACAACATGGACATGCTGTGTGCTCAGGAGAAACAACCAAGTGGTGTCGTGCTGACACTCGCATGCGCAGGCTTTTTGTCACGCTTAGCGGATCTTGCAGCCCTAATCCGTCCTGAGTATTAGGATCCAACAGCGTGTTTGTTGGGACAGTCACTCATGATCTTGAAATGGCATCTACATCTGAAACCTGCACGTACCAGCATTTTTGCACAAGCGGTTTTGGACCGCTTATGCTGAATAATAGGATGCACAATATCGTAAGGTGCAATCGAGTCAGAAGACCAAGGATCTCGCGATGGAGATCGGTGTGCGTCCTCAGCCATGTGTGACGTTGCCGTAGGTGACGCTGAGGATGTTGAGTGCGAAGAGTGTGTCCTCTTTCGTCTTGTAGTATGTGGATGTTGGCGTCGTTGCTGTGTTGTGGATTGGGATGCTGGTGAGATGTTGCGTGTTTTCTTTGTTTTCATGACTGTTTTGTCCTTTTTGTCTTTGTTGTCTTTCTTCTTTTTTGTCTTCGTTGTGTGCTTTGTTTTTTGCTTGTGTGTGTGACTGACTGCATGGGAGGATGCGGTGGTGTCATCCTTCCTCAGGAAGGCATCAATCTCTTCGGATCCCCATAGGCTGCTGTCGTCGTCCTCGTCCATCTGTGTGAGATCCTAAATATGTTTCAACAACTGTAGTTCTGAGAAATGGCTGCGGAGTCACAACTGCATTAAGGCGTGTGCATACGCTGATCTTCAGAAGAGAGAGAGAGATGTACAAAGATACATCACTTGAGCAACCTCACCGGCCGGCATGACCTTTCAACATGGTGCTCTTAATGTTGAACCTCATCAGGGATGATGGAGTTCGCAGCACAGCTTTGCTGTGTGGTTGTTGGCTGCCAGGGGCAGCAAATGTGCATCTAATTGTCAACTCAGCAATGTTGCTCACGGAGTTCTTGACCGCTTTCTCTTGTTGGATGTAGGAGTTGATGTAGTAGATACTGTCTCCTTTTGGGTCGGAGGCGTTGATGTCGGACGCTGATCAGGTTGCTCCGCATGCTTTCGTATCCACTCTTGAGATGCGATAAAGTACTCCCGCCACCATGAAGAGCCGTTAGTGGCCCAATGCCATCTCCATTGTGATGCCGTGGGAGATCGCGATCTGGTGCGTTGTTCCATGGTGCTAACACAACTGGTTGTTTTGCAAAATGCTGCGGGATAAAGTGCATCAATCGCTGCATGCCAAACATATGTGAAGTGAGTGCAGGGAATGTCACAGTTGGCAACAACGACAATCGTTGTTTTTACCGTCCTCTGCGAAGCACCCGATGGTGGTATGAACATGGTTGATCACCTATTGTTGCGAAGCTTCGAGTCTTTCCACTCGTTGCTTTAGCTCTGTGATCTGCCGGGTTGTTTGCAGAATAAACTCAGCTAATTGGTCGCGTAGAGCCTCGTCACTGAATGTGGAAGGTTCACTTCCAGTTTCGGAATCATAGTCCCGATGCTGTGTCAAAATCTCCATGAGGGCCGCGGAGAGAGCTTCACGTCGTGACTCATCGACGGGTGGCGAATCTGTAGTCACTGTGTTGGTCGGAAGAGATGCTTCGCTCATGGCTCGATGTCGGGATTCCGGTAGGTGTCACTCTGAGGCAAAACTTCAGAAGGCAAAGTTGTGGTGTGTGTCTGAAAGCAACATGTGTTGAAATGCGAGAAATGTGCACTACCTGGCTCTTTTTATACCAGCGTACCTTATCAGCATATTCACGACCAATCAGGCGCGTTTTGCCTGATGAGGCTTTCGAGTACGTCGAGCTGCTGTTTGCACGAGGCGAGGATCGCCGTGGTAGCCTCGTGCTGAGTAGTCAGCACCGTTGTAGCCTGTTGTATCAGGCGCTCGAGTTTGGCATTCGACTCAAGCAACGAATTGTGAAACTGCGTTATTGCTGCCATAATCTCAGTCGATGAATCCGGATCAGAGTGATGCGGAGGTGGAAATGGCGGAGTCGCCGGTGCAGCCACTGCTGCGTCCTGCTGTTCTTCCGGATCTTGGTGTTGCTCTTGGTAATCTTGGAAATCTTCGTCTTCTGCAACACGTAGAAACTGAGAGCGCAAAAGCGCCGGCTGTTGGTTGTGGCTGCCAACCGCAGGTTGCTCGTTGCGGCGTCTGCTATGCTTGGAGATGGATGGCCGAGGACGGCCGCTCAGCGCTTTGTGGCTCGGCTGCAATCTGCCAGTCATGGCACTTTTATACATGATGATGCCTCAGTTAAACCCTGAAAATGGCTGCGGGAAACACTGTGTTAATACAGGCTGCTCTCATGTTGCAAAATTGCACGGCTCTGGACCCACGCACGGCAAGCTGGCACAGTGTTTTGCTTACAGCTGTTGATCAGTATAGCCGGCAGCGATGTAGAGATCGCGCATGGCTCGAATGGCTGATGTGGCCTCGCTGCATGGTGTTGTCACTCTGCGTACCATGCGTGTGCGGGCCTGAAAACTGCTGCGAAGTGTTGAAACAGAGGTGGCTGACTGTGGGTGCAAAATATCCGCCTTGTGCAAAGTGCATTGATGCGTGAGGCTGCTGTGCTGAGGGTTTATTGCGAAACCCAGGAAAATGTTGGCCGGTTCAGTTTCAAGCTGAACCGGTGGTTTGTAAAAAGATGCATCAGTGAGCTGTGCAAAAGGAGGCAGTCGGGTCAGCTGTGCAGGTAAAAGAAGGACGCGGTTGTCGACGTATCTGGTAGCAAAAAAGAAAGCTTGATCCTGCTTGTTGTGATCTGGAAAATGCTTGTGGTTCGTGAAAAGCTGTTTGTATGTGTGGTGCCAACACTGTTCCTCGACCGCAACAACGATGTTGCATAGGGCTGGGCTGCAGGGCGAGCCCATAGGTGCACCGCGAAATTGCTCAATAAGTGATGTACCGACAGTGAAGTAGTTGAGTCGGAGCACTGCAATGATAAGTTGTGGTATATGTTGTAATTGAATGCATAGTTTGTTGCCTGAGGAGGCTTCTTGCTTCTTTTGTCTGCTTTTGCCCCTGTGGACTCGATGTGTGGGGTCTTTCTGTGAGTGGTCAATGAAGAATTTGGAAGAGTGTAGGGGGTTCTTTTCTCTGTACCATCGAACCATAATGCTGTATGCTGAAAGAAACCGGCTCTGATCGACCGATGTAAAGAAGCCAGCCAAATCCTGGTTGTACAGGATGTAATCTGTTGAGTCGTGTAATTTCCTGCGCTGATGCAGGAAGAGTGCTGTTTGTTTGAGCTGTGTTATGCCATCTCCTTGGTGAAAGGAGTTTGGACATGCTTGAAAAGTCATCAGCTGCAGTACGTCTGCTAAGGCTTCCCACAATTTCCTGCCCATGGTGTCGATGAACGCCACTATGGGACGGCCTTTTGTGAATTGCTTCTTTCTTTTCGGTAAAATGTAGGCGCGTGGGATGCGTCCCCATTGTGGAAAAGCCCATATGTAAGCTGGAAGAAGGCTGCGGATGTCTGTGTAGACATCAAAGTGGTGTTGTAGAGGTTGGTGCTGCGAGATCCGAAAGATCTCCTTGTCTAAAAAAGTGTTGTGTATGGCAGTGTGATATAGTGCTGGGCAGTACCACGTGAGGCGGTTCGGGAAGTGATCTTCGCAGTGGATGATGCCCGAAGGTATTTTGTGTTGGACTTGCTTGATCATCTTGACCTGGAGTATGTTGTGTTGGTTGCAGTGTGCGTTGTGTTGTGGTATTTGTTCAGATACAAACTGCTTTGCAGTTTGGTGGTTGTAAGGCAGTCCATAGTATCGATGCCATGTGCGTATGGCTCGGCATAATTGTGAAGCCAACTGTGTGGGCTTCTGAAGGCAATTACTTTTGCCGGAGTATGCCAAAAATTGGTGTTGTGGTTGTAGTTCTGCAAGTTGGATAGCAATGTGATTGTTGAAAATATGCTCCTGGGGAACTTGTGAGTGTAATGGTGAGCAGGTACAGGGTGGTGGTGAATCGGGTTGCCATGTAGTATGGGCGTCGCGCCAAT